GTCATGTGATGATCGTATACGTTTAGCTGACGAAAATTTATAATTTTTCGTCTCGACCAATAAGCAAGCGAGTTTAAGCGCGTTTGTCGTTCAGTTAATGAGGCTATTCGTACGCTTTCGTTCAGTTGTGCATGTTAACTCTTTCGTCCTTAGAGGTCAACTAGTTGTTGAGTTGCAGGTCAACTAGAGTTGCAGGTCAACTAGTACATTGTATAATTATATATTTAATATACTAATACGGCCTATTACTAATACGACTCTACGCACGTCTGGGCTGCATGTGATTTGACGTGTATGTGTCACACGAAACGGTACGGCGTTGCAACTATTTGAAACTGTCACGTTTAGGGATGCTTAGTAAATATATAATTTAGCTACTATACGTAAATACTTGTCTGAACATATATATTCTCAGATCTCTAAGAGCAGTTGTGATACATTAGTCATTTACGTTGGTTATAAAATTGTCAAAGTGCACAACATCGGTAACAAGATTTTGCCTCTTTTGAAGCTGTTACTATATACTGTTACTAATTATTGGATTTTAAAAGGACATAATATTTGAATTAGAAAACGGCGCAGAATTAAGAAAGCGGCGCAGAAAGAAAGCGGCGCAAAAAATAGAGCGGAAAGTCGCTTAAAATTAATAGATAGGAAGTTCAGGGAAACTGCAGGGTTGCAATATAAGATATTGCTTTATAAATAATTTCAACAACATTTTAAGCATGATTTGTGTGTTTTTATTAATTTTAGAACATTTTTACATGGCTTTGTTATTGATTAAATTGAATATGTACCATCAGTTCCCGTGGGCCTCCTGTGGTCTGAGCATCTCCGTTCTGGTCGGTGATTGGCTGACTGAGTTAACAGACGTAAGAGTCCCTGTGGAGAGGGGAAAATAAATTTTCCCTTATTTATTGCTACGAATTACGAACGTTTAAGAATAAACAGAGTAGACACTGAATTACAAACTTAAGTTTCCTTAATGTCGGCGATAGAGAAGATTGAATTTTCTAGCGAGTTGCTAAAGAAAGGAAACAAAGCGACGCTGGACAAGAAGCTTGACCAGACGCTTCGAGCCGTTTGTGGCCTTTTAAACGCCAATGGCGGCCGTGTGATCCTTTTCACAGAAGACGGTTGCTATTCTGAAGGTTTTGTGGACGATATTACGCGAAGAATTGAACAAAAGTTGTCTCCTTTCTGGGACATTACAGTCACTCGCAAGGTGACCAACCGGGAATTACATTTTTGTGTCGAAGCATCACGGTCATCGTGCCAGCCATATACTCTCAACTACAACTTGTACCATACAAGCGAAACTGAAGTTCGAAAGGTTCTTCCGTCAACGCCGAGGGAAAGAGTAATAGATCTTGTCCAACGTACTTCTAGAAAACGAAAGCTGCATGAGCACTACAAGTTCGGTAACCACTGCCGAAAGTTTACTTATGGGAAAACAGTTTCATTACGAGAATCCAAGAATACACAATTGAAGAAGTTAACAGATAAAAAATCTGGAAAAAATGACCTTGCTTCACGGATAACAAACAAGGCCAACAAGCTCATTTGTTATGTTTCAGGCTTTGCAAATGGTGAAGGAGGTAACATCTATTATGGTATAACCGAAAAAGATGGATCAAATATTGTCGAAGGGCAGATAGTAGATGATCGGGATGAAATAATCAGAGAAGTGGACAAAACAATCAGAAAAATGACTTGGCCAGTGGGTGATCCACAGAGAGGCAAGCATTGGGAAATCTTTTTTGAACCTGTAGCAGGGGTAGAGGAAAGCGAGTCCAAATTTGTTATTATAATTTCTGTTGCCCCCTCTCCAAAAGCGGTGTTCGCCGAAGTGCCAGAGAGTTATAAAATGGTTGGTGGGAAAGCGACTAAACTAGGTTATACAGAGTGGAAGAAAACATTATTACAGCATCAAATTTCATACAAATCTAAAGAAACTGTAGTCTTTGAACAACCAAGTGTCATACGTTGCAGTTGGAGTTCCTCGTCTGCAAAGCTTGAGTATGCCAGAATAAGCCATAAGCTTGTGCAACTTCGCAATGATGGTGATCGAAGTAAGTTTACAAAGTATGTTGAAGAACAAAAACATGTAAGTCTCAATGCAAGAATTATATGTCAGCAGCAGGAAGCTGGCTACCTCCTGAGAGAAAGTAATGTCAAGAAAGCAGACGAATTACTTAAGGAAAATCGATCACTTTTAATGAAATCTAAAGATGCTCCAATCTTTGAACTTACATGGTTGTATTGGGAAATCACTGCAAAGTACTCACAACCTGGTGATCTGGAAGAGAGAGAAGAGCTTTTTACTGGTGCTATGCAGAAGGCGCAACTAGTATCAGAATTTCTTATTGGTTCTTGGGTTCTGGTCCAAAAGACAAGAACGTTAGAGGCACAGATTGGTGAAGGAGATGAAACTCAAGATAAGGAACTGATTAGCAAATGCAAGGCAAGTTAAATAGTTTTGCTTGTCAAGTTGTAGTTTCTCAGCTTCTCAGCTGTAGAGTCCCAACTAGGATTTGAACCAGAGACTATGTAACATTAGCCTGATTACTGATGTAACCTAATGCTTTTTAGACTACGTCATAGACTATACTCGATTGTACGAGGAATCGAGTATGATCTATGACGTAGGCTAATGCTCTATCTACTAGCCCACTTAAACTTAGGTGGTCAGCTGAGGTAAACTTGGGTATTTATGCATACGTACTAGGTCGAGTTTGGCACGTAACATCAGTTGTGTTGTTATGACAAGTACCTGTTGGCAGTGGCGGCTTCAAGGGAGAGGGGGGGGGACATGGGAGGGGGCATAATAGGGGAGCCCCCTCCCCCTAGAATATTTAATACTCTAGCTTTTTCATATAGTATGCTGGATTAACTGACCCCCGCTCCCCCAAAGAAAAGAAGGTGCCTGGCGCTGCCACTGCCTGTTGGACTACAAATTGTTTTTGTCACTCAAAGTTTCTAGTCACTCACTCACTTACTCATCAAGATCTACTGTCTTTTTTCTCTGGGTGAGTCTCGGCTCATGACTCCGTGGACTTGTTTCGCAGCCCAAGTGAAAAGAGTTCGTAAACACCGCCAAAAGCCGTGGGTTTTCTCCAGGTACTCAGGTTTTCTCCCACAGGGAAAGTTGGCAGGGTGGAAGTAAGAAAATAGCTGTTGTGAAGTTAATATTTAACAAATTCGAAACTGTTTTGCGGTGTTTGCATGACGTGATGAAAACATGAGGAAGAGTTTGGAAGAACTTGAAAACTGTTTTGTGAGCCCAAGAAAGAATGTCAAGGGCTTACACAACTGGTTATGCAGTTGTGCAGGCAAGTTGTGCAAACACGGCAAAACAGTTTCTGTTTTCTTCATAAAATACAGTGTAAGCCGAATAAACAAGTGAAACAAGGACAAAACATTGCTTTTTTTGCCACCAAACTGTCATAATTAATGGTGGTGGGTGACGGTGATGCAAGGACCACATGTTGCCTAGCCTTATGCAAACACGGTAGTTGACCAATCACAGCATGCGACCTTTAGTAAGACACCACTTATTTTATGATGCATAAAACTTGATATAATCGGCCACTGAAAATCTTTGAACTGGGAATGAGCTGAATAATATATAATGATGCTTATTTTGTTTTTTCTTTTTCTTTTTGCAAGGCAAATTACCTGGAGGTGCTCAGACAGGTGGCAGTCTTGGAAGAGTCCTCTGCTGTGGTAGCTCTCAAGCAAAGAATGCATACCAGCCTGGCTAGAATGTACTTAGGGTGCTACCGATGCCGTGGCAAGATGACCCGCAAGTTAGATTGTACGGTGGCTGATCGTGAGGAGGCGCAAAGAATGCTTGAAATCGTTGACCGGTCACACAATAAGGGATGGCCACGAAGGCAGCTGTGTAACTGTGAATGGTACTTGTTACGCTCTGAACAAGACATTCGAAACTGGAGTGAGTATGGGAACGACCAGTACCTAGAGTCAGCTTATGGAAACAGTATGGAAGCTTTCAAGATTGCCAAAATGTTAAACTTTAAGCATTTTACAGAATATGCTGAGGAACAACTTAGTTATCTTAAGGGGAAATTGGGAGAATAATGAAGATGCACCTTGCTTTATAAAAATGTATTGGAACATTACTGAATTGTTAATGATAACAGCTATTAAGAACTTTGAATGGTTTGTAATGTAACGTAAAGTGACATGCAGTAACCCCATAATTTTCACATCAGAAATGTATATAAATAATAATTAACTAATAATAAAAAAGTTCAGTGCAGGATGCATGAGTATCGCATTTACCTACGAAAGTATGTGATCTTACTTCTGGTCTTTACAAGTCAATTATTCAGAGAGATAAACACGCCGTCCGGAAAGCGGGACGAAAATATTCGGAACAATGAACTGTTGAATTTATTGAAAGTACTGATTTTGTAACCAAAAAGTTAAATTACATCAGTCATTAGAAATATTCAACTATAAATACATGGAAAGATAATTTTCGCAAGGCTATATACTTTCTGTATTTTACAGCATTTTGCAAACAAATTTTTGAATTTTAGTAGTTTTAAAAAGTTTTTTTTGGGAATTGCCTTTTCTTTTCCTGGATTGCCTAGGTCAAAAATTAGACCATAATGCAAGATAGATTTAGAATGAGGACGCGGACGTAAACGACGTGAAAATGGGTCAAAATGGCGTGGCATATCCATACATGGGCACATCATGGCATTTTCACGTCGTCTTTGACGTCCGCGTCTTTGATCTAAATTTGCTTAAAGACGGGCAAAAGACGCATTATGCGTCTGGACGAGCTATGCTCTGTTCTTCGTCTTAACAGACGTACAACCGATGATAGTTCATCTAGACGCATAATGCCTCTTGTGCCTGTCTTCCCACTGAAGAGGCATAACAAATTAAATTAGCTTGTTCGTCTGAAAGTTCGTCTGATTATGCGTCTCGTCTTTGTACTAGACGAATTATATACAAGACACTTAATGCGTCCATTCGGATAATGCGTCTGTTATACAAAGGTAATTATTATACTTATATATTGGCCTTAGGTCATAGTTAGATAAAATTTCTCGTGGTAAAAATCGGCGCTAAAAGTCTAGGCCCCTTCCTAGTTTTTCAGCGGCATTTACTACCGTGGCAACTATTTCTCGAATCAGTCTATGACAATACCAAAATTTATATGAAATTCATCGTTTTGAAACATGCAGGGCGGTGCGCAGTATAAACGATCTTTAACCACGTGTACAATTCCCACAATTTAAATTAGCTCAAATAATACTTTGTTATCCGAAAATATCCATGAAACTACTTACTTTTATACAATGAAGATAAATTCTTTTTACAAAACGTTTTCCCTCGTATAAATCTTCTACTTTTCAGTTTGTTTTTTGTTTGTCCTAGTTTCCTTTGCCGACAGCTGGTTTTAAAGAGGGTTGTCACATAGCCACACCCCCTCATCGTATGAATTATTTAACAATTAGTCGCTGGGGCACTTGTGCACATACGAGTCTAGGTTACGTCATTGGTGGATTTCCGATGATGAGCAGCAATTTTTATCCAAATTATACATAAATATGCTGCGCGTTGTGACCGACTGAAATAATGATTAAAGTGCAGTGGCAGTGGAATGAAGAGTCCTAAACTCTGACTGACAATTAGACAGGATATTGTTATTTATATATAAGATAGGCATAAACCTGATCATAAATAATTCGCTCGAAAACTTTCGCCACAACCGGGATTATAGAAATTGGACGATAGTTATTTTGATCTCTATGCTCTCCCTATTTCAATAGTGGAATGACTCTTGGCAGGAAAGCTACCAGAGTTAATAAATCTACATTAAAAATTGCACACATAGATTCCGCTATCATGTATGCAGGTCGGAACAATAACGAAGTAACCCAGCCGAAATTTTATCCAAACCTGTGGCTTTAGATTTACATACTTTGGACAAAAGGGTACCAACCTCAACCCATTTGTCGTATTTAGTTGAAAATTATCATCACTAATTTCGTGTGTAGGGTAGTCAAGGTGTTTATATGTGACAATGGCGTAACTTCACCAAATATGGTCATGAGAACACGAAAAATCTGTGAGCGGATTACACGCTAAAAAAGCCGTATTGCCCTTGTCTAACCCGATTTATTTCTTGGATTTTTCAACCAATCAGATTAAAGAATAATGATGTCCCTATTAAAAGTTGTTCCAAATTAAAATTCAAAACGTATCTTGTTGTTTTAGTTCTCGCTTAACTTGAAATAATTTGCTGCTTACAACGCCGAATTCATGAAAATCCTTCCGAAAACCGCTTAATAAGGTGTTTTTCAGGTTTGTCATATAATTAAAATCCCATTGAATGGTTTGACATATAATCCTGCTGAGCATTTTACTCGTTCCTCGCATATTTCCGTTTCCATAAAATACGTTCAAAACTCGTAAAATACTCAAACCCCTTCAACAAAATATATGTATCACAATTTTCAATGTCACTAAGAAGTTCTTGAGTTGAATCTAAAGCATTTTCAACCGAATTAGAACTTCTGGCACAAACCGCCATTGTGAACCACCCATGCACCCAGCTTGTTGTCACCAACTTGATAACAAATTGCCGACAACTTCTCACGTACCAGATTTGTTGGAACAACTTTTTGCGATTTTGTTTGCCCCATTAACTTTTTTATATAAAAAATGATAACGACGTGTTTCCGAGTACATTTGCTCCAAGTCCAACTACTAAAATTAGATGACAGTTCCTTTACTTTAACTGAACTTTTTACATTATTTAGTTTTATGATTATTTCGTCATACGTCACGAGAACAGGCTACTTATGGAACACATTTCGCGAAAATGGCCAAGAATGCTCGCTGTTATAAATCACATAAATTAGATTGATCAGTACTTTTTTGATAATGACTAGGCTTGTTTATGTAAGAGAACATCGACTGAGCCTTAAAAACCCCACAAAAAGCTTAAACGGATAGTCTAGAAGCATTTTAAAAAGTCACGTGATATTTATTTCATCCCTTTTATTTATTGGTGATTGCTAGATAGTATACTTCAAAATAAGGTTTCCTTTTTTATAACGTACAAAAACTATCCTAACGCAAAACTAAACCCTAATACTAAACCTAACCCTAACCCCAACCTAACCCTAACCTAAACCTTAACCTAACCCTATCTTATTTTAAAAATAAAATAAAAACGGAATCTTATTTTGAAGTATACTATCAAGCAATTGCCTTTATTTATTTCTTCCCTCGCCTTTTCGCTCGCGCGCCCGCAATCTCTGCTGTTATTTTCGATAGAACGTCATGTAATATTTTCGTTTTGTCAATTTATTCGCCATATTTGAACAATCTTTTGAAGCAATGTTTCTGAACAAATATAAGCGCCCTGTTTGAAGCTATTCACTGGAAATACAAGCTCTTATGATTTATACAAGTAAGTGCAATAATTTAAATATATTACGTTATGATGTTTTATTCATATTACGATTTATTAATGTTTTATTCATACTCATAACACAGCTCTTAGTTGGACCTCCTGTGACAAGACCAATAAGATCAAGCTTTCTTTAATATAGGGATGCAACTACCTGAAAAATGCAACATTCGACGATGTTTCGAGCGAAGGCTCTCCGTCGTAACTTCCCGCGACTATGTCTCTGGTGTTTATAAAAACATACGTTATATTATTAGACACACCTTTTCCACATTTTGAAAAAAATGTCCTCTTCCGGTAACAGAACAGCCACTCACATTGAGCAAAACATTTTGGTAAATGTCCTAAATCCTTTACAAACACAAGGTTCACTCTTGGTTTACTGCATGCGCTACAAAAATGGTGGGAAAACGCGGGATCACCAGGTATCTGGTGTTCTGCACTGGTGCTATTTGCCGGGAATTGGCAGCAAATTTTGCCACGAGTCTCTGGCTAAGAGTTATTAACTTTATTTTGCCCTGAATTAATTTCGTTTTGCGGTGAGTTTAATTTCTTCTGCCGTGAATTAATTTTATTTGCCGAATAGCTATATTTACTTTCGCCGTGACATGGAGCTGATAAAAGCTGCAATCAGAATCGAAATTTGTACTTGTATTTCAACAATTTAAAGGTGCTCTGTAACCTTAAGAGCTATAGATTCAACTGAAGGTGTACGTATCTTCAAGATATATAAAGTACATAAGATGTATGGTTGCTAGCAGATAATCATGCAGCCAGTTAAATTGAAACTACGAGTTAGAACAAGAAGCATATATACTCAAGGTGTACTTTGTGTTTAAAACAAAGTACATAAATTAAGTACAGCTGTACAGGTTCCGGAAATGTGTTCATCCAACGACCTGAAACTACCAGTTATTATAATTGACTATGATAATGTTTAGTCCAATCAGTCTAAACAATTTTCATGCCAAGACATATCAGACACATAACAGACTTAATGACGGCTTTAAATACCTGATAAAGTTTGCTGGCGAGAGTTCTGCGTATACCTACTCGTATTTGGCCAGAAAAAGAAGTCGTAATATTGGGTAAGTACGCGAATTATCGCACCCTGAATACTATAGTATAGTCTATTTAACTTCCGAGAAAGTAATAATAGAAAAATTGTGTTTCAAAAATACTATATATAGTCGTGACAGAGAAAAACCATCTGATGTGGGATTTTACTGGTGGGACTCGGATTTGGTCTAAAAAAAGCCAGTAGAAGATAGATTTAGGGCCGTCTGGGCTAGGAGATGGGATCTAGACCCCTTCCAGCTAGGCCCCTCGTTATTGCATCATAATAGCCTATAGTCATGATGAAACACAAATATTTCATATCAGATGATGGTCTCCGTGCATGGGTGTTTCCACACTCAGGATCCATGCATGCAATTGTTTTTCAAACAAATCAATTAAAGTCAGTTCGTAAACTATTCTGTACAGGTAAGTTCGCCTTTTCGCTTAAAGTGTAATTTGCAATACATATACATTTAGTTGTTAATACACATTTAGCATTTTCTTCCAACAATGTGCAATGATATAATATTGTACAACCGGAACTGCAGTGCAATGATGCAAGTCAAAGACATTCGTTCTGAGCAGGTACTAACCAAATAAGATTTATTTCAATCTCACAATCCTGGTCCAAAAAATTCGCGACACTCTATTAAAACATGTCTCTGTTGCCTTTTTTTTACTATCGCACCGGAATAATTTGCTCATTTCCCCCTCCCTCC